TTCCCTAAAATAAAACTCCCCGATCATGATTTTATTAATTTATGATTTGCGGAAATGGTTGGTTCGGGATTTGGAAGTGTATGGGTTGAAATCGAAATAGTTGGTTCCTTAAGTTAGCCTTAAAAGGCCAAGTTTGACTTCGGTCAATATTTTGAGAAAACGACCCCGGAATCGGGATTTGACGGTTCCAATAGGATCGTATGATGATTTCGGACTTGGGCATATATTCGAATCGAGCGTTTTGGCGCTTAATAGTGAAAATTAACTATTTGAAGGTTTAAAGTACTTTAAATTTGGTTTGGAGTAGATGTTTTTGAGAAATTGAAGTCCGTTTGGAATTTCGAGTTTGGAAATAGTTTTGTATAATGATTTAAGACTTGCACGCAAATTTTCGTGTCATTTCGAGTAGTTTAAGTATATTTCGGCGCATTGGAAGTAATTTGAAGACGTTGAAATTTTTAAGTTTGAATCAATTTGGTTTAGGGTATGATTATTAGATTTGATGTTGTTTTACGCATTCCGACAGTTCGAGCGAGTCCGTTTTATGATTTCAAACCTGTTGGTATGTTCGGGCGGGGTCCCGAGGACCCCGAGTATCAATCGAACTAGGCTCGGACCAAGTTGGAAGTTGGGAGACAAAACTGAAGCTCCCAGCTACTGTCGAAATCGCACCTACGCTTGGCCAGTCGTAGGTGTGACATTCGCAGATGCGACAGAAGCTCGCAGGCATGACCCTCACATATGCGAGATTTTGAGCGCAGAAGCGTAAGAAGGGAAGGGGCAATCCACCGCAGATGCAGACGATTTACACCTGCGAACGCGCAGGTGCGAAGCTTTGTGCGCAAATGCAAAAATTGGCCAAGCAAGTGGAACTCGCACCTGTGAGGATTTCCCGCAAGTGCAAAAGCCGCAGGTGCGGTAATCTGTCCGCAGGTGCGAAAGACCTGTTTGGCAGAAGACTTAAAAGAACGGTATTTCACCATTTTTGCCCATTCTTCTTCCATGTTTGGGGGATTTTAGAGCTTTTTGAGAGGAGATTTCAACTAGCAATTTGGAGGTAAGTTAATTCTACACAACTTGAGTTAAATACATAGATCATAAGTAGATTATAACAAGTAAATCTTAGACTTCAAAGGTTTAGGTGAAAAATCTAAATTTTTATAATAATGAGATTTTTACCACGAAAATAGTTATGGAATTGGGTAGAAATTATATATTTGAGTTCTTGAGATTATGGGTAACGTTTCCATCCAAAAATTTTCAGAATCCGGGCACATGGGCCCGGAGTGAATTTTAAAAATTTTATCATTTTGGATAGAGTAATTTATTTAATAGATGAATTTCGAATTATTGAACATATATTAATTATTTTATATAACTTTTGGATAGTTTCGGATTTTTCGGCATTGAATCGAGAATTTTAAGCGACGCGATAATCGGAAAGTGGACTTTGAGACGAGGTAAGTCTCTTGTCTAATCTTGTGAGGGAAAAATTATCCCATAAGGATTAAATTGAATAATACTGATAATTACGGGGGCTACGTACGCACGAGGTGACGAGAGTCCGTACGTAACTACTATTAATGCTAAAGTCCGGGTAGTTTAGGATTTAAAGCATGAATTACTTATGTAAATTGTATTCCTTGTTTAATTAATATTATTTGATATATTTATATATATATATATATATANCCTTTTTGTGGAGCGGGCCGAACGCCTCGGCAGGATAGATGCATCTATGGGTCGCGCCGCATATCCCTCGACAGTGTACACGATACTCTGGATCGGGCCGTAAGTCCTCGGCAGAAATCGTGCTTAATAATAATAATAATTATACGATACGTTAATAGCTTATTTCAGCTTGCGAAGTTAATTGACAAATTAAAAAATCCTTGGAATTTAATGAATTATTATTCTTGCTTGTTAAGTAATTAATTGTTATTCCTGAAAATACTATTTAATTGATAAATTGAAAATTATTCGAATTTAAGGAATTTAATTAATATATTGAGAATTATTGCATTTGAAGAATTTTGATTATTTCCGTTGATTAAATAAATTATCGTAAATTCTGTAAATCATATTGATTTATATATCCTAGTTGTATTTCAATTATTATTATTGCCCCATAGTAAGTGTCAAAGTCGGCCATCTCGTCTCTACCACTTCGAGATTAGACTTGATACTTACTGGGTACACGTTGTTTACGTACTCATACTACACTTGTTGCACTTTTTGTGCAGGGACTGAGGCAAGTACTAGTGGGGGACCTATCGTCTTACACCCATGTTATCCAGGGACATAGTGGTGAGCTATTTCTCTGATCCGTTCTGCAACTACTAGTGTCTTTCTTTCTATTTTAATTCTGTCTATTTTTATTTCGGACATCATTTGAGGTTTTGTATAATATACTACATGCTCATACACTTATGACGCCAGGTCTTGGCACACACATTGGTAGAGTTTGGGTTTTATTATATTTTCTTGATTTTAAATTTTGTCAATGTATGCTTAATTTATTGGTTGGCTTGCCTAGCTGTAGTGTTGGGCGTCATCACGACTTATAGGTGAAATTGGGTCGTGACAGCACTGTGAACTGAAGTTTTCCCGATTACCTTTGCAAGTTAGGCCAAATTTCAAGCAAAAATATTTTAAATTTTGCTTTGATAAGGCCACACTTCAGGCAAAAAATTCTGAAGGATCAGACATAAACAAATTGAAGCTGTACAATAGACTGATAGAGTCTGTGCACTGAGGCACTGGTGGATGTTCTGGTGTTAAGCAGTTACTACTTGCGTATTTATAATATTTTTTTCCAAAGCATCTAGGTAGCTTCTTTAGTACTGGTGCATGTATTAAATAAGTTTCCAATGGTTCGGCCTTGTTGAGAATTGATGCGAGAGCTTTGCTAATTAGTTTGAAGTTTGCGTTTGCCTGGTTGCTTTAGCAAGACATAAAAGTTTGCTACTCATGCTGTATTTCTAAAGTTATTTAAAAAGTGGATAGACTTATAATTTATTGTGCAAAGCGGGTATAATTTCAATGATGACCCTAAAACTAAGTATAGAAGTAATGCCCCCATATAAAGACATTAGTTTAAAGATGTTGTTTGTTGTTCTCCTCTACATATATATATTCTTAGAAAATTATAATATTAGCGAGTGTAGGGTCTTTAATTCTTTTCCAATTAAATAAGGGGTGTGACAAGTGTATACTTTGTTTTGTATCTCGTCATTCATATAATGATGAGCTTAGAATATTAGAGAAGCAGAAGCTTACTAAGGCATGGTCAAAAGACTCAAACATGCTCCTCTTACCCCAATTTTAATCAAACATTACTACAATATTATTGGTTGGAAAATGAAGCAGTCGGTCTAATTAGTCATACTATATAGGCTAACACAAACTCTAAAAATTTTAAGATCTATGAAAAAATACATAAAATAAAATGCCATGATAAACAATTCAATTAGAACGCTACCAATTACAACTTAAACATTAAAAAATTAAATCCATTTTGGAAAGAAAAAGCCATAGGTGCCTCTACGAAATAAAAGAAATAAAGAAATTTAACATTATAATTTAAAATTATCTCTTCAAGGACTACAGACGACTACTTTTCATTATTGAATTTTCATGGGATGCAACCAAGTTTAAGATAAAACATTGGCCAATTATTACCCCCAATAAGGGGCAAACTCTTTAATGCTGGAATCATTACAATCTCTCCCTTAGAGCCTGTTTGGAATATTGTTGTTAAGTGTCGTTTGATAATATATCATATTGTATTGTACTATATTGTATTATATTATTTGATAAATATAATATTTGAATAGATTATATCGTTTGCCGTTGTTTCATGATGTCATGCACCAACAATATGAAAAATAAAATTACAATATTACAAAGAAAAAATAGGATACATAGTAGAATTATTATATAAAAAAGTAGGATAAATGATAAAATATGATTATTTAATAATAAGGAAGGGCAAGATAAGAGGAAAAAAATAAAGAAACGACGCTATCACACTAAATTCGTCGTTTCATAAAGTGACACTTTTCATCATTACGTAACGGTGGATTTAAAAATTACGATATCATAAAATTTAAATAACAATCAAAACAAAATTGCATTTAAAATAACAATACCATACCATAGGTAACAACCATCCAAACGAGCTGTTAGAGTTGGATGTAAATAGAAAGGAATTATGAGATGTCTTTGTTATGTGTTTAAATTCTTATGGTAGCTCAACTATATATGCTTTATCGATGTCTCGTCTAGACCACCATTAAAAACATACATAAGAATATTATCATCGTCTCGAAAATTACTACAATATAATCTAGAAGTGCAACGTATCCCTCTATTTCTATTATTGTTGGTGAAAATACCTACTACTATAATGCATATTAATACCTCGTCAGGGCACAATATTTTTCTAAAATTTTCATCTAGAACATTTTGAGTGCAGCTATTTCACGTCCAAATGAATATAAATTTACACGATAAATGACCCCGTCAATATAAACAAAATTGTTCTTCATAGGGAAACAATTGGCGCAACGTTGGAATATATCTCTCTCCATAATTTGTCCACTCCAATTGTGAAAAAATCCAATCTCTCACTTCAGGAATTCCCTTTTCATGATCAGAACCTATGTGTGCCTTCAATACTTTATGTCTCTTGATCTTTGTGGCAAGGGTCACACACTTTTTATTTTCAGTATTATAGCTCTACCGTTTAATTACCAGTAGAACTATAATACTGCCGAATCAGTTACTACTATTGTGGCTCTTTGTCCAGAAGCGGATGTAGTGCTTTACTACGAGAATTCATATACGCGAAGTAAAAAAATTTATTAAAATTTCAAAAATAGTAGATATAAACCCGTAACTTTAAAAATATAATGGGTTCAATGCAAAAATCTTAAAAGTTAGAATCCATAAAGTTTAAATCCTGGATTAAGTTGGGACCTATAATAATATATACCATCTTAGCAATTCTGCGCCACCAATTTACGACTCTCAGCTTTTGCTTCAATTCGAAGTCGCTCTGCTCTTGAGCCAATGACCTGCCCCAAGATAGAAGCAGCAATAGTTAATGCCATAGCTGTTTCGGGTATGACAACCGACTTCCTTAGCATGGCGATAAAGGGAACAGCGGCATGAACTGCTGTAAACCATGATAGTGAGAACTTTTCAGTGTGCTCTCTCCATATTCCTAGTGGAATATTAGCGGCCACGCCCAAGGCTCCAGTGACAAGCATCTTTGAAGCCAGTGGTTGTGGCCGCAGCGTCTTAACAAAGGCAGTTCGGGTAAGGACTGCCCTGACTGCAACAACTGCCCGCGGGCATTTAAGCTTCACTCCAGGAGGCAGCGGAAAAGTTGTTGCTTCAAATGGGAGGACACGGCACACAGCTCTATAAGATTTGGCAATAGGACAGTTCCCTGTCTCCAACCATTCATTTCCCGTTGTCTCGTGTTTAGAGGAATTGTCCTGTTTCTTTTTTGATGATTCGAGTTTTTTCTTGTGTGAATTCCAGTTTCGAGAGAAAGAATCGAAACTAAAAGGACCTCCTGGTCCGAATGATGATAAACTTATGGTTGCAGCTTTAGCAACTAAAGGATGAAATTGAGGGGCAGACTCTAATTTCATGTTGTCGGTTGAAAAGAGGAAGCTAGAATTTCAACTTTATGATTTTCTAAATCATAAAATAATGAATGATTTGTTGTAGCTAAAAGAGTATCAAACAAAATGAAACCGATTAAGTATTGTTATGTGAAAAGTAAGAGCAGTGAAAGGGAGTGAGTATTATTATGTGAAAAGTAAGAGCATATAATATAAATAAGAAGTGTAATAAGTTGTCTTTGAGTGGGATTGGGTTTTGCCGCACTATAATAGACTATGGTTTCAATATTGTTTAGGTTTGGGTTATTACCCTTTTCTTTTTTCTAATTAAATCTTTTTTCCCACTTTTCTGCAACAACATTCCCTCCCCCCTCCCCCCCC